TCCTAGTCTAAACAGAGTGTTTACAGAGTTGAGAGCAAAGGGGTGGATGCAAATAGACACACATAGTTTGATCATGCCTCTGCTCCCCTTTTTTTACTTTTTTCTTTGCGTTTGTTCTTTTTTTCCCCCAATGCCTGAGAAGTCATTTTACAAAGAAGTCATTTTACAAAGGGGCAAATTTATCTTTAAAATTTTGAAAATAAGGTGGGTGGAAATAACAACACTCTTAATTAATGCTAAATATATATACATGGATCAATTATATTGAATTGAAAATTAATTATAGTATTTATGACTTTCTAAACTAGAAAATATAATTAAAGTTCAAATTTTATAGAGAATTCCTAAAATAATTTTTGTGTGTTTTTAGCTAAAATTTAACTTAAAAAAATAAGGTCAAGATCAAAAAATGAGGCTCGTGGCCCAAGCCCAAGCCTACTTCAAGCACGGCCAGAGCCCGGCCTCTTAACTTTTTTATTTATTTTTTAATTTTTTTATAACTATTCTACTATGATGTCTATTTGGATAATGTTGTAATTCGAATTAATTCATGATAAAATTATTAGGTGATAAAGTAAACTTTCTCATGTTTCTTTAGGCACTGATTTCATGAAAACACGTTTATAATTGAATTTATGGGAATTTAAAAAGATGAGATAGTTGAAAAGAAATTTTCCTAACAGACTTTGTGTAATGATTCAATATTGATGAATGATTTGAATTTTTGATATGTTGAACACATACATGTCTTCTCATGTACTGAAAATTTTCGTGATGATTGGATAATAATTTTATTTATTGTCTATTTTTAAGTAATCTATGTTCAGGAGAAAGTATGTGCCGGCAGATTTTATTAGGAGTGACATTTTAGATCGAAAAACCGCAAAAATCAACCAACATTATACCGCATTGGAACCGCAATAGCTAAAAATTGACCGAAAATTGCGATTTTAGAAACCGAATCGCAATTGTAATTGCGGTTGCGGTATGTGATTTTGGCAACTTGCAGTTACTGTAAACCGTAAATATATATTTTTTAAATTGCATTTTAGTAGTTAGACGACGTGTTTTAATTTGGTTGAGTTTAATCTATTATTAATATGCTTTTATGTTGTTGCTTTTGTGTTGTGTTGTGTTATAGGTGGAGTCTTAACACACCTAATGCCTCTAATCCCCCAAATACAAATCGATACACCCGAAATACAACCTACACTCCAACTCATAAAGAAGGGCTTCTTCTTATAATAAAATTCACTCACCACCACCTACACTTGAGTTCTCCTTTTGGTTTGTAACTTTAATGAACTTTGAATTGGATTTTTCTTTAGGTTGTGAATGTTTGAGAAGTTAAGGTTGTGAATTTATTTCTTTAGGTTGTGAATTTATATTTTTTTGTTAAAGTATGCTTGAACTCAAAAAGCTTCAAAAGAAGTACCAAACATAGGCTTAAAAGTGTGGAAGATTGAATTTTTGTGACACAAAAAGACCACACTTAAAGATCTAAAATTGTCTAATTTAGGCTCAAAATATTCAAATCAGTTTAAACTGTTAATTCACAGTAACCGACTGATTTTTGCAATTTCAAAAATCACATTACCGCAAATAGTCAGTCAATTTGCGGTTCGAAGAAAAATTCGCGGTTACCGTACCACAACCACCCCTAGATTTTATGAGTACCTTTGAAGGCCATTTTGGATTATTAATTGGAGATAAAACAACTCCTCATTTTTTTTTTTAAAGATTAGCGTCCCTAGTTTGATTCTATGTAAGGTTGGGTTAATTAGACTTATAAATTAATTACGATAATTTTTCAGTGAAAAAAAAAAATCAAGTGAAAAAAATTCAAATTAAGGTTCGTTCTAGGGCCCGAGCATGAGCACGGGCCCGGCCTGAGCCCGACCAGGCCCGTTTCAATGTGGACTTGGGCTTTGAGCCATACTAGGATAAATGATTTTACGAAATGGGCCGGACTGGCCCGACATGAATATATTAAAAGCACGAGTTTAAACAGGCCGGGCAGGGCCGGCACAGCCTGTTTAACACCCCTAGTTGGAGTTGCATTTTTCCAAATACTTCCTAGATGTTGAGTGTGATAAGAAATTAAATAACTGGATATGATAAGACTTACCCATTTAATTACCATTTTGTTGGGGCTCAATATTAGCCTCAATTGTATTGTATATCTACCGGCCCATTGCAATCTACTGGCATACCTGATTAGCTGCTTGGAATGCTGAGCATGTGACCCTGTAAGACAAAAAGAAAAGACGACAAGCTAACCTAAGAGATTGTGCAATGCTGTCATGAAGAGTTAATCTGTAACAAACTGTAATTTAAGTTATTGCTGACTCGTTTTTGCAGGACGTGGAACTTCCAAGAACTACAGACCTTTCACCAGTATCGCCTCAAGTTTCTACAGAGGTCCATGTGAGTGTGGAAGGTGGTGGTGGTGGTGGTGGTGGTGACGAAGCTAAACAGCAGCATGCAGATTCAGAAAATGGACTCGTAGTCGATGTAGATGCTTGTTCTGGACCCAGAGTTAATCGACTCACGATAACAGAGACTCCAGCTCCAAGCTTTTTCGAACTCCTCAAAAAATCCTGCAAAAGTTGCAACATTTTCCTTCTCTTCATTTCCGCAGTGCTCTCAATTGGATTTGGTATCAAGGAGGAAGGCACAGGGACCGGTTGGGTTGAAGGGGCCATTTTAATGGGTGCCGCAATAATACTTGTGGTCCTCTCTGCAATGCGTAAGTTCTGGTCTGGGAACACACAGCACCAGGCCCTTACACCTGACCATGCCCAGTTAATGGCTGAAATTGACAAGGTATGCACGTGCATGCAAATGACTGCCCTCGTATTCTATATTGCCATTCTTGCAATATCTTTCCTCCATTACATGCTTGAAAGGAAAGACAGCAATTCTGGCCTCCCAAATATTAAAGGGAAAGCAACTGCAAGCACAGAAATTATCAATGTAATTGAGAATTTTTTCACGAAACAAAGTGGGAGCAAGAGTAATATGTTAGCAAAATTGGTTTTATTGCTGCCAGCAGTGGTAGAAAAACTACCTTTTTCTGTTGCACTTGCCATCAGTCACGGGAGAAAGAAGATTCTACCTGCTGAGAAGGCAAATATTGCTCAAGAAATGTCCGCTCTTTGCACCATGTGCCCTGCAGCTATTTGCATTAGCACAAATGTGCTCACTTTGAACTCTCGGAAAGTCAAGATGTGCTATACAGGGGATGAAGTCATCAAAGAAGAACCATATGCTCTTCAAGCCTTGTCCAATGCAATCAGAACATCAGTTTCGACGGGGTCTACCTCCACAGAGAACCAACTCCTTCCGTGGACTGAATCCTCATTGGGAATGGAAGATGAGAATTTGGGGCTGAATCACACCGATGAGGAGGACAAGAAGAATGGAGACATGTGGTGGCATTTTAAAGGACCTGCAACAACAATAATAGACAAGTGCTCACATTACAGTGACAGCAAAGGGAACGTAAACTCCATGGATAAACAGAAAAGAATGGATTATGACCAACTAAAAGCAGACATGCAGTCCAACAATCTCAAGACCATTGCATTTGCTTACAAGAAGACAGATGGTCAAATGCTTGAAGAAAACGATATGACCTTAATAGCACTGGTAGGTGTAATGTATAATTATGACACAGAAATTATGGAAGCAGTGGAATTTTGGAGAAAAGAAGGATCTAACGTGATACTGTTCTCAGACGATAGCGCGCCTGTGCTGGAAGACATTGCTTGTTTATTTGGAATAGTACTTCCCAACTCAAACAAATCTGTGATTGAAGGTGAAAGGTTTCGAACTAGTGATAAAGAAGGCATGATGGACATAGCAGATCAAATCTATGGGATGGTAAACTCCACTTCTTCTGACAAGTTCCTTTTGGTGCAATGTCTGAAAGAGAAAGGCCAGGAGGTGTTAATGGTTGGAGATAGAATAGATGAGACTCCAGTTCTCAAAGAAGCTGATGTGGGGGTTGCAATAGGGACTCGCAGTATTGAAGATCCAGAGTGTTGTGACATAATCAACTTGGATGGCAATGATTTCGGTTTGATGGTCAAGATTATCAAGTTTGAAAGGTGCATTTACTACACTATTCAAAAGTACATCCAACCTGAAATCACCATGAATATAGCATTGCTGTTGATAACCCTCATTGCGACGATATGTAAGGGACAGAGTACAATCATGACAATTCAATCATTATGGGTAGAGATGGTCGTGACCCTCACAACTGGGTTTGCACTACTGATGGAGCCGCCAACAGAGGAACAGCCACCGCCAGTAAGACGAACTAAAGGTCTCAATATTAGCAACCCAATGTGGAGAAACATACTCATCCAAGTTGCATACCAGACAGCCATGTTGGTCACCTTGCAACTCAAAGGGAAAACTTTCCTAGGCATCAACCAGAAGGTTAGTGAGTCCATGGTTTTCAACGCTTTCGTTCTCTGTCAGGTGTTTAACCAAATCAATGCAAGGCAGCCAGAGAAGAAAAATGTGTTCAGAGGCATACTTCTCCATCCATGGTTTTTGGTGTCTTTGGTTTTTGCTCTTACCCTGCAGCTGAGTTTTATAGAGATTGCACATATTCTTGTTGGGAATGCAAGGTTGAATTGGAGAGAGTGGGGTGTCTGTCTTTTAATTGGGATGGGTTCATGGCCAATCGATTTGGCTGGAAAGTGTGCATCCGACGTCATCAAGAAAGTAAGAGATAGCTACCTTGTAGATCCACCACCACTAGTCTGATAAAGTCTCCAGCCTCAGATTCCACTTCTTCTCTAGCGAGATGGAAAGTGTGCCACTCTTTGATGGAATGATCTAGCAAGATGATGAAATTCAACATACTCTCTACACGTTCTCTTTGAGACAGCCCAGCAGGTTCCTGGACATATGAAGCTTATCCTAAGTCTTTCATCTCAGTAGTGGGGCCTTATTTAAACGATAGTATGTTGTCATATATATACAACTTCAAGAGAAGAACAGTTGCTTCATTTAGACATAAAAAGTAATTTCTTTAAAGTGAAATTCAAATCGATCGTCTTACTCAACTTTATCCACTCAAAAATGTTTAACAAATCTTATGACACCTGATAATTAGTATGGGACTTGTATGCTATTTAATTGAAAGGAATTATGGATCTTGTAGACTAATGTTTCGGACATTAGAGAGCAAGTTATATCATGCATGTTTGATAACCATTTCAGTTTTTAGTTTTCATTTTTCATTTTTCATTTTTTTAAAATTGATCACCACAGTGGCACCATATAACTTCAGTCGAGGACAATTGCTACGTAATAAAAATTGAATTTGTGTACCTATTTTCAGTTCTTATTTTTGAGCTCCTTCCGTGAAGAAAGTCAACCTGGTGTCTAATGAAGTACAAGTCTAGAACGCTCAAATCCAGCATCTTCCGACCTCATCTACAGAAGCAAAATTTGTAAATGAAATTAATCATTTTGGATTCATACGTTTTCATTCATGTCAATTTTAAAAATTCTAATTTCAAACAAATTATCACTTTAATTTGTTGGTAATAGAGAAGCGACAAGATATATATACAAGGGAAGAACTACGAAGAGGCTGGGCTGGGCGGGCTGATTTTCCAACTTAGGCTTAAATGTATTAAAAAAATACACTACAATTAAATATTAGCCCACCATTTAACACACACAGATGGGGGAAGCAGCTGCGACGATGCAAGAGGAAGTGGCAGCAGCAGCAGCTTATGACCTGAGGGACAAATTTATCGTAAACAGAGTTAGTACGGTCCCAAAGAGAAGACGGACACCCACAAGAAAGAAAGAAAGAAAGAAAGAAAGAAAGAAAGAGAGAGATAGATGATTTATGCATCGATATGTTTTGTTTCATAACAAATATATATCCCAATTGGGTCTTTTAAGTCATCAAGTGTTTTTCTGGGAAAAACAGAAAGGGATCAAGCGTTTTTAGCTGTTAGATCGGTGTCTAATGCAATCCCAGGGCTGAGAACAAAGTGTCGCTTACAGGTCCTTAAAATTTGTCCCTCGGGTGAGAACACGAAATTGACGAACGGACATGTTCTCATAAGAACAAATTTCAGAAATTAGGAAGTTCAACCATCTCAAATCTACTCTGTGTTTCTAAACAACTATGAAAAACTACACAACCATCTCAAATCTACTCTGTGTTTCTAAACAACTATGAAAAACTACACAACCATCTCAAATCTACTCTGTGTTTCTAAACAACTATGAAAAAACTATACAACCATCTCAAATCTACTCTGTGTTTCAAAACAACTACGAAAAACTATACAACCATCTCAAATCTCCTCTGTGTTTCTGAACAACTATCAAAAAACTATACAACCATCTCAAATCTACTCTGTTTCGAAACAACTATGAAAAAATCAGTTTAGATATCGCATAGCCAAGAAAGAAAGAAAAAGATTGCATCTTACCGGAGATACCGGCGCCAAAAATCTCCAGGCTGCCAAACAGGGAGTTGGATGCGGTTTGTTCATTTCATCCCTAGCTCTCACATTCACAAAAATATTACAATATATTACAATTGTGGGTGTTCACACGCATCATATTGTAGGACCCATCAAAAATATTACAATTCATATTGTAGGACCCATAAAAAATATTACAATTGTGCAGTGTTCACACCCATCATATTGTAGGATATTACAATATATTACAATTGTGAAGTGTTCACACCCATCAAAAATATTACAATTGTGCAGTGTTCACACCCACCCATAAAATCCCTAAAAAATATTACAAAATATTACAATTGTGAAGTGTTCACACCCATCAAAAATATTACAATTGTGAAGTGTTCACACCCATCATATTGTAGGAAACATCCCCCACAAAAACATGTTCATATTGTAGGACCCATCAAAAATATTACAATTGTGTTCACACCCATCACATTGTAGGAAACATCCTCCACAAAAATATTTCTTGTTCACACCCATCAACAGTGACCCTCCTATTTGTCCTTTATCAACAGCACCCTAGGATCTTGTCTTTTTTTATGAGCATAGCTTTCATGACATCACATCCTTCGACTTTCTTATTTGTAGGAAGGTTCCTCGATAAAAAGATTCAACGAAAACACGTTCTTCTTTCCTTCCTTCCTTGGGTTCCTCGTTACCGCTGAAATTTCCTTGATGCTTCCTTTTCGGTACGCCTAAAAGGAATAGAAGAACAAGACTGGGCCAAAAATCAAGTTTATATATACCAGTCTCAAATAATTTTGTTGGAATGACACTCTTTTTTCTAACAATCCAAACTGTTCATCTTTCAAGTCTTCATTCATAAATCATCTTTATAAAAAATCAAAAAAATTAAAAATTATTAAGACATCTAATTGCTGGCAACAAATAGATGAATAGGATGCTTTAAGAAAAGACTAAAATAACAATAATCTAATTGAGTTGTCAAAATGTTTCAAATTCACGTGATTTTTTTCAAATTTGATCTTTGAGAGAATATCTAAAAATTAGATGATTCGGATAATTGAAAAACAACGTGTGGTAGGCCTTACAATGGTGTCCTTCAAATAAACTTATTTGAAGAATCTCTCTATAAAAACTCACTATATATATTATATATGCACAGAGAGCTTCCACTAAGAGATCACTCAAATAAGCTAATTTGAGGGACATCTTTGTAGGGCTCACTCCGCATTGTATTTCACTAATCCAAACCCTCTATTTTTTAGATAATCATTCAATGATCATCTATACAAAAAATCACTTGAATACGATATCATTTGACCACCCAATTGAGTTATTAAATTTTAGTATTTTTCTTGAAGTATCGTATTTATTAATTTTGTAAGACACAATTAGATGTCAAAACGGTTTCCGATTTGTCTAATTTTTTACAATGATGATCTATGAATGTAGACTTAAAAAATGAATTATTTGAATAGTTTTAAAAAAAATTCGTAATTGACCCTAAAAAATATTTGAAAAATTCATCAATAAAGAGTGACTATATATAATATTCGGAGGTCCATAATCCAATTTGGAAGTGGTCCCAAAAAAGTTAAAGTCTTCCATCATATAGTGGACTGGAAAAGTTAAAGTCTTCCGTTACGTCCTGGAAAAGTTGGTCTTCCATGTTATGGTAATCAACCACGGTACCATTCATATGTCCCTCTCCCCATTAAAGTCTTCCACGTGTTGCATCACTCTTAAGCCAAGTAGATTATCAGCATTAGGACTTCAATTCCACTTTGGTTTCCTTCATTTCAAATTTCTTTTTAAAAAAATATTTTTGCTCACCACTTTAACATCATCATTCTTAATATTTGATATATGTCTATAGACATAATCATGATTAACTTTTTATTTTGATTTTATGTAATTATAGTTTTACTTATAAACACGTGTCATGTGTTGAAAATGATGATAAACATACATCTTGAGTTAAAGAGGTGAGCAAAAATACTCTTTTTTTTTTAATACACATTCACTTCACGTAAAAATTGTCCAAAGACCATAACCACAAGGTACGGTGTGATTGGCAAACTGTCACCTCTAATTGGTGAGCTAACTGGTGCCTCAATGGCAGGGGTTCAAAATCCGTTGAAAGCAATTTGTGGCCAGAGGCAAGCCGAACCTCAAGTGGGGATTAATCTCACTCTTCATATATAGAGACACCTCGTGGTATTTACCCACAATAAAAAGTCCAAAGACCATGTCATGTTCAATCCTATTTCTATTTCATATTTATACCAAAATCCTTATATTCTACTTTGGCAATTAATATCTAGATAAAAATTAGCTATTTGCATTGTTTATAGAGTTTTTCTATTTAAACCCCGTACTTTTCTTTGTTCACCTCATATTCTAAGTTCACCCCAACTTCTAATTCAAATTTTCACAATTTCTAAGAAAACTCAACTATCCTCCCAAACTACCCTTAAATACACACACATCAGAAAAATAATAATAATAATAATAAAACGCATCAACCTCTCATCCCACACCCCGCTAACAATTTGAAATATGTGATGCATAAAATAAAAAATATAAAAATAAAAATCCATTTTCAACTTCTTGACCCGTTTTGAGGGGACAATCTGTTTGTTTTCTTTTGCTCCACACACTCACTTCATCTCTGACTTTTCTTCCTCAACTTCTCTTCTCTTTTCCAACTGATTTAATCTACCGACACTGCGTCTTACTTGTCTTCCCTTCTCTCTCTCTCTCTCTCTCTCTCTCTCAAAAAGCTTCTTCTATTAAGGGTCACTTCACTTGTATGCAGATCCATTATTCTGCAATACCCAACATCAAGACCAATGCCGAGAAGAATGAAAGCTCAGCAGGATTTAAGAAAAAGATAAACACAATGTATCAAAATTCAAAAACACAAATTACCCTTTTAAGAAATACGTCAAATTTGGCATGATTTTCCATATTCTTCTTGCAACCCTTCTTTGGTTATAAATCACACTTAGAGTGTTTGAACTTTGACCATACTCATCGTTGGTGGGGCTGAGCCTGAGTAGTCTCTGTATTAACCTTTATGTTGTGTAAAGCAAGCATTGGTTTTGATGTTTGAGGTGAAACGAAAGAGAGAATTTTCTGAGTTTTAGTTCTCGGACAATACCTGTGATAATTTGTTTCTGGGTTAAGTTACATTTGAGCCAACGAGTGGTGGGGTGTGTATAGATGCACTAGGGTTAAGCATTAAGTTGGATGACTTGTTTATTTGTTTATTTATTTTTATTTTTATTTGGTTACAGAATAATAAAACTTAAGAGTTTAATAATTTAAGTATTGTGGTGAACAAAGAAAAATGCGGGGGTTTATATGACCTGGCTTGTGTACCTGAAAATATTATTATATTCAGAATAATTTTGGGTATTTTATGAAGTGCACGGATGATCTTTTCTTCTTAATATATTTATCATTTGAATAAATTTAGACGATCTTATCTTTTGGAGAAACTTAGATATTCTTATCCTTTTAAATATTGAAGTTTATCCTATCCCTATAACCACTATAAACAGAAGCACAACCTCATAGTTTCAATACATAAGAAATTAGAAAAAAGGTTGAAGGGGGAGAGAGAGAGAGATGAGTACAATCATATGTTGTTGAGTTTGGAGAAGGTTAAAGATTCTTGAACATATTGATTATATGTGGTTTTAATAAATGTTTTGATTTAAAATATATGAACTTTTTCGTCAATAATTCAACATGTCCTATATTTATTGGATGGTACACCAGCCACGTGGTATACCCGGAACATATAAAAATTCTTCCCATCTCCCTGTCTTCTTCTCCTTATGAACCATAAGAAAGTGGAATGCCTGTTGTCTTTAGCCAATGACCTGCTCCATGTAAGAACAAACCAACTGTAAACTGCCTCGCAATCTCTTCACTGCAATTCTTTTTATAGCCTCCCCATTTGACCATGTGCCTTGTATCTGATCCAGGTCCAAAATTCAAGTACTCTATGTACTCCACGGTTTCCACAGTGATTTGATTTGGTTCTGTTCCTCTAAGTCAAGCAGATCGGCTTAAGTTCTTAATATACTAGTTTTTTGGTTGATTATTGGGTGGACAGCTGATTCCATGGAGGACTAGGATATTTTTTTTTTTGAGGTAGAAGATACTCACTTCTAGAAATTCAACTACTTGTACGCCTATCACCATATTTGATGTTTTTTCAAAAGATTAGCTTAGTAGAAGTTTGGCGACTGGAGTTGACAGGGAGAAGAGATGGAGAGCAAAGGGTGGAGAGCGAGGGCAGAGGGGGAGAGAGACGGAGTATGGAAGGGGGATGAAAAGTTGCAGAAAAAAAAAGGAATTTTCTTTAAAAAATTAATTATTTATTTTTTTATCCACATGTCTCAATGTAATTGAACAGGTAGGCTCCATTTATCTTTCACGTCACACTTACAGAATTTATAACGGCAGGGAACATTTATGATAAAAAGCCCAAACGTTAAGGACTATTAGTGTCACAAAAAAACTCAAGGACCATTCGTGATAATTTCGTAAACGTGAAGGACCATTTGTGATAAAAAGCCTATTAGAAAATAAAGCACTGAAAAATTAATCAGTGCCTAAGTTCTCTACCATTTCCAGTAGTGGACATGAATCAACACAAGAACTTAATTAAAATTTTAGAAATATATAAATAAAAGACTCATTATACCAACTAAGTGAAATTATATGTATACCAAAATGGCTTTCCTATGGTTTTAACTACAAGATATGATGTGGTTGACAAATAGCTACCTTTAGCTGGCGAGCTACTTGATATCTCAATGACAGAGGTTTGAAACCCGTTGAAAGGACTTTGTGACCAAAGACAAACCGAATTCCAAACTAGGATTAATCCCAACTTCAAATGTGGGGCAACTCGTAGCATTTACCCAAAAAAAAAAAAAAAAAAGCTTTCCTCCTTTTTCTCAGCCTAAGATTCCTACCTCTCTCTCTCTCTCTCTCTTCAATTATTATTTTCTTAACCACACTCTCGTTTTACTCCCCAAGATTGCTACTGTTTCCTCCTTTTCCTCCTCTTTTCCTTCCATTACTCTCTCGCTCTCTCTCTTATATTTTCTCAACAACTTTCTGAAACTTCTCTCTTTTTCTGCTTCAAATCTATACGCACCCCTTCTGTCTAATATTTTTTTTTTCAAATTCTCGTCTTTTTCTTGGTATTGTGTTGTGTTTGTAAATCTTACTCATTGTCTAGTTTGGGTTAGATATGTGTTATGTCTCTTACAAATATTTCATTTGAATGAGTTTTTCTTAGCGACTCATGGTTTTTGTTTGACTGGTTGTAGAAATAAAACATATGGGACAAGTTCTTGCCGTTGTTGATGGCATATTGAATCTATTTAGACATAGATGTATTTAGAATGCATGCACGCGTATTGGTTGGACAGGAATAAGTCACAGAGATTTGCATTCCGTGCCATATTTTTATCAATAAAGGACCCACGTATTGGTTGGACAGAATGTGGGACCCATTGGAAAAATAAGTCATGGAAATTTGCATTCCGTGCCATATTTTTGGCAATAGAGGACTCATGTATTGGTTGGACAGAATGTGGGATCCATAGGGAAAATAAGTGACGGCGATCTGCATTCCATGCCAAACTTTTTAGCAATAAGGGACCCATGTATTGGTTGGACAGAATGTGGGACCCATTGGGAAAATAAGTAAGGAAATTTGCATTCCGTGCCATATTTCTAGTAGTAGGCGTAGGCAATAAGAAATCCCTAATTTGTTAATATTCTTGGCGGCAACAAAAGTCAAGGATAACAACTCCTTGATGCTATCTTCAATCTTTGCATGTCTCGCCACCTAGCAAGAATGGTGGCACCATCTCTAGCTACAATACTCTTAATCTAACACCTCATGCTAATAAGTCCACCTCCAGCTTCTTACCAAATATATCTTTTAAGCATTAACTCCTAAGTTTTCAATAAAATATAATATAATTTATAATAAGATAAGTTTGTCCAATTTTATCACTCAATTTAAATATCTATCAAAATATACTAAGATTGACCTAAACGTGCACACTGCCATGCAAATAATATGGGTTCTTTTATATTTATGTGTGTGTGTGTGTGTGTGTGTGTGTGTGTGTGTGTGTGTGGGTGTGTGTGGGAGTATCTTTTAAGCATTAACTCCTAAGTTTTCAATAAAATATAATATAATTTATAATAAGATAAGTTTGTCCAATTTTATCACTCAATTTAAATATCTATCAAAATATACTAAGATTGACCTAAACGTGCACACTGCCATGCAAATAATATGGGTTCTTTTATATATATATATAATGAATATAACTATATATATAGTTATAATTTATAAATTAAATGATAAAATATTAAATCTTCAAAATATATAATTTTATAAATATGGAATTTCATATCTTATGGCAACAATTAGGGATTAAAACGCTTAGATGGAAGACCCAAAAACAGTTAGAGCTCTAGTCTGTCGTCATCTGGTTTATGTGTGTGATATTATGAACATGTACTATACTCACTCATGAGTTGGTGTACCATCCGGTTCATGTGTTGGTTAAAGATCGAGTAGCGTGAGTATACTGCATCAATATGTACATGTGTGGCTGCAAGTAGTGTTTGTACATATGAGAGATTCAATGTATTTTCACTTTTGTTTGTCTAAAAATTACGAAATGTTGTTTTTTAAAGAGAGAGTTTTTGGAAGTCAGTGAGTGACTTGATGGTTCCGAGAAAACAAAAGATTTGAGATTGTATTGCGATATTTTCTATTTAGTTTATCATGGTAATACATGGATTTTGTGTGTTCTAAATAAGGGGATGTGTAATGTTAATTATGTGAAAATATATGTGTTACTTGTTGTGGTTTACTCATACGAGCTGTAAAAAGCTTACCGGGTTTGTCATTGATGGTCTGGTACACTATTCGACAATGTATAGGTTAAGTCTACAGGTGAGGGAATCAAGGATATGAGCAAGAGGCTTCTTGTATAGTTTTGCAAGGTGTGTTTTGTTTCCGCTGCTAATAACTGAAAGACTTCCGATGCGATAATAAGCTCAAAATGAGTAATTATGTAATATATTGAATTTTCAATTTATTATGTAATGTTGTAATGTAATATGACTATGAAGTATGAGTCTATATTAACATTGTAAGTTTAGAATGGTTATGCACTGAAAGAGAAGTAAAAAGGTTGTGGTGCATGTGTTAACAAACTGTTGTCTATTAACTCTAAAGATGACGAATTTTTGTGAAAAAAATGTCATGTATTATTTGTAAAACTGACAGTGATTTTACTTTTTTTTTTCCCATGGTTCTGTAAAACGATTTTAACTGAAAAAACAACCACAATGCTTTATGAGCAATAAATTCAGGTCTAAATCTGCTATTACCCACACCATACATATATGTACTCAAAAATTGTTTTTCATAAAACTTGAATATTCAATAGTAATTACATAGTTTACCAATCTTGATTCCTACTATATCCATACAAAATACCATATCCATAGCATTAACCTATACTTATAAATAGAGGAACTATATGTGGTTGCTCACAAATATTGCCCATTCAATGCGAACTTCTGCTGGACCTTCAATGTCCGCACCATGGCACTGCAGATGCACATCAAAAACGAAAAAACAAATTAAACCATATAAGTTTGGAGAGAAACTGAAGAAAAAGTTAAAAACGTATAACAAACAAAACGTAGAATAATTACCTGGGTAGTGGAAGAACTGCACTAAACAAGAAGATCAATGAATAAAGAAAGACCCTTCTCTCTGATAAACAAAAGGAAAATTAAAAGATGAACCTAAAAAATCACTTTGACAAAGAGAAAGCTATAGCTAGCTCCTAAATCGATGGTTGCTGCCAAAAACTTGATTGGAAAGAGAGAAGTCAACCTGGCTGATTATCACTAACTCTCCAAACTGAATATCGTGTCCTTGCCGCTCTTGTAATCCATATTCTTCCCTGTAATCCCAAAGGCCAAAAAACATTAGCAGAAGTACAAATCACAACACAATCAAAACTAGCTCTAATTATCGAAAATCTAAAATTTCAATATGGAATTTGTAATGTCCTTTGTCCTTACTTAGCCAACTAAAACTATATGGTCATAAGATGATACCCCTCTTATTTTGATATCTCTGCTATAGGTATCAGATCATTTTGGATTTTCTTCTGAGAAAAGCTAATCTGAAAGTGAATACAGTCTAACCACATCAATTAAAATTATCAAATATAAAAAAGGGACTAACAACAAACAGTATCCAATCATAATGATTTTTTCCATGGATGACTAGGGAGACCTAGAATTCCGCGTTTGCCCTTACATACATAGGACAGCTGACCAGCCACTCTACCTTCTGCGTTGCTAGTTATAAGTAAACTCTCCCGGGTGCACTCCAACATGCATGCTAGATTGTCAACCAGGATATCCAAATAATCTATAGTTTCGAATCCATAAGGCTCCCACTCGTAGAGCAGCTCCCGCTTGTTACACTCCTAGTTCTTCTCACAGTTACTCTTGATCATTTTAATCATCGACATGAATTTTATGTCCCGAGATTCGAGCCTTTTTTTTATTTTCCTGGACTTTCGTTTTAGCTTTCTTTTTCAGCACATAACGATTTGCATCCGTGGAGAAAACTTGGGTACTTTCGGTTCGTACGAGAAAAGGGAAGCATGGGGTTATTCCAGCTTCAATATTTTTTTGAGCTGCAACAATTAAATCACGGAGACCTTCTATTATTTCACCACGAGGTCTATATTTGACCTCAATGAACTGGCGGTCAGCTGGTGGAGGATAAATTTCTTCAAGGGGCTTTAGGACAGTAGCCATAGATGACTTCAGTATTCTAAGATTTTCTAAGATTTGGTCACCCATTGGTAGAGTTATGGCAAGATTGTTGGTGATGATGAGAGATATAGCTCTGAAACAGCAGAAGGAGCAAGAAGACTGTGTAAGGTGGGAGGAAGGTCAAATTTCTTTTTTCTTTTTCTTGTTTGGTTTTTGGTCGAGAATCACCTCCAAAAATAAATAGAGCACGTAATGAAGGAAAACAAAAAGAAAAAGAAAAAAAGGGAAACTTGTATGGTCGAAGCCCATAAGGAGACAAGGGGAAATTTGGAAAGCTAGGTTATAAAAAGTAAGAAAAAGAAATAATATTAATAAAAGGGGAATGTAGGAGGAGATTTTGCGTGTGGAGAATCAGCTACCAAAATAAAAGGGGAGTGAAGCCCAGGGGACTTGCCTTTAGAGCATCTCCAGCGCCAGACTCAAACTGGGGGAAAGGCAGCCTTGGCGAGCCCAAGAGACCTCCAGTGCAGGAAATTCAGCCCGGGCAAGCCCACGGCTAATCTTGCCTGGACACCAAACCTCGGGCTGCTGACGTCAGCAGCTGATTTTTAAATTTTTTTTTACTTTTGGACCCACCAGTCCACATTGCCCAATGGTTACAAGCCATGTGGCTTCTCCTGGAGCCTCCGATCAAAAAATCTTGCACAATCCAACGGTTGTCCAATTTTTGGCTTAAAAAATATCAAAATTTTTTATAAAAAATATCAAAAAATTCTGGAAATTTTTTCTATACATACCTACCAATATTGTTCACTTTCCACACCAATTTAATTTCAAAATTTTATCCGAAAATGTTATCTTGATTTTTAGGTGAGGATTTTATGATAAATATTAACACTTGGGAAGTGAAAATCTTATCCGAAAAGCTTATCAAAATCAATGTTTTAAGTATAAAAAATAAAAAATAAATTTAAGTGAATAGTAATTGTCTTAGACTTGCCCTTGACTTAGCCCTCATGGGTGGAACCACAAATGGCAAGGTTGACACTATTCACGTGAATAGTGACAGCCTTTGCTTGCCCTTGCCTTGGATTTAGTCCTTGTGGGTGGAAGTGCTCTTACAAGTACCACATAGAATAAGAAGAATTAGACTCGCCGACATAAGGAAAAAGAAAGTATATATTGTGTGGTTTGTTAGGTATAAAAGCGTATCCTCGTCCTCGTTGAGATAGAGAGACAGTCCAGAACCCTACATCAAATCCGATCAGCTGTCTCATAAAATAAAACCCCAGCAGAGCTCTCCTTTCCTTCCTTTGACTTTGATCGATGGCGGTCTTTGTTGCGGGCGATCTTCGTTTCTGTGAATATGGCGGTGGTATGGCCGATTGTGCGAATGACCGTGGGCAACAGGTTACTCTGCGCGCTGTCGAAAGCAGCGGTGGTGACATGACGAGCAACGCAGAGTATATAATACTGGTGGTTGGGAGTTACGGCGCTTACTTTCGATTGACCAAGGATGAGGTTGATCGTAGGTTTCCTTGTATCATTGTCTACACACCAGACCCCGTGCCCGAAGAGGATACGATCTCCTTGGTAAGGAAGATGAAGTAGCAGTTGGATCTCCCAGTGTTAGCCATTGCTGACAGTAGTCCACGGTCAGTGAAGAATTTCTCTCTTTTCGTAGCAGGAGGATGCGACATAAAGTGGTTGGGACTCCGGCCTAGTGGGATTCCTCTTTTTCTGTTATTTTCTCTCTTCCCTTTCTTCTAAACATGAGCGCGAATGTGAGTGTGTAATACAGAAATATTCACTCAGAAATATAGTGGAAGCTGTTGGGCGAATGATCACAAAGCAAGGCAGAGAGTGTTTGTAAAACAGAGAATTAGACAAACTGATTTTATTAACTTCTTCGATAAAACAGCAGCCTGTAACATTGGCTATTTATAATTACATTTACACCTTTAAATAATAAGACACAACTTTTGATATCTAAAAATTACATCATCTCATATAGTCAACAGATACAACTCTTTATAAGAAACCTGTAAGAAAAGATACAACTAATAATTTTATTTTCTAAATTTAAACTGTAGATGATGCATTATTTTTAACAGAAGCTCACCTTACTGTGGATGTACTCTTACAGAATACTTATTAAACACTATTGATGACTCTCTAGATTCCAACTCTTCAAAGTGGTAAAGGCTCAACTAGCACAGACTGGATCAGCCGAGAGCCTTGTTCTTGATCACCAAATCCATCTCCAGCTTGGTAAAGGCTGTGCGCCATTCGCGCAATATTTGTGGCAATGTTGTTGATGAATGGTGAGAGAAAAGGCACATGTTGTGGGGTTCTCAAGCATGTCCCATTTATTTTCTTCCACGCATTGTCTATCATGCCCTTAATCTTCCTCTCGGCTATATCTTCAGAAGCATTCATCTCTTGCATGTAACATCGGATTGCTGAAGGAGCATCGCCTCTCTCTTGTTCAGCCTGTTAATCAATTCATTAATTAATCAAACTATGTGTTTGGGGGTGGTGGAAACCCACCTAATCCGGGCACGGGATATTGGATGGGCACGAGAAGAATTGCGGCTGGGCTAGTGCATATGGATTGTTCTGTTGGGCACGGCCAGGATTGGAGGAGTTCGTAGCCGGGCAGAATTGGAAGACTGTAGCCGGGCAGAATTGGAAGACTGCGGCCGGGCAGAATTGGAAGACTGCGGCCAGGCAGAATCGGAAGACTGTAGCCGGGCAGAATCGGAAGACTGCGGCCGGACAGAATCGGAAGACTGCGGCCGGGCAGAATCGGAAGACTGCGGCCGAGCAGAATTGGAAGACTGCGGCCGGGTGTGATGAATATGCGGCCGGGTGTGATGAAGAGGC